GGGCCGTTCCCCGCACACCTCGTGCGCTGCGCGGGAACGGTCGGGCCCGTGCGCCGGACGTAGGGAAACTCGCGCACGAGGTGCGCTTGCAAGTATGATCTATATACAAAGAAAAAGAGTTCAATCTCCTGATGAGTTAGCAAGAGTCTGAGCAAATGTTCTCTTTGGGCACTGTGTGCCGAGTGCTATGGGCTGTCGCCTGTTCTCTTAGGTCCTATTTTCGGTACTTGCTTAGTTGCCTCAATATGTGCTATGTATGTGTATGAGACATAGTGTTCATTGAATGAGCGTTTCCCATTCAGAAATTGAACGGTTTGAACGCGCGTTCCATAAACGTGCGCGAACGCGGAGTTCAATTCCGCAGTTGAGCCCCCAGAGCCGCGGGGGGCAGGGAAGGGGTCGTGGGGGGGTCTGTCAGGGGCAGTGGCGCCCCCCTGGCCCCGAAAAAATAACAAAAAGGGAAAGAAAACGAGAAGAAGGGGGGGGGAAATGAAGAAAAAATGTGTGTGCGTGCACGCACACACACATGCACACACACACACACACACACACACACACACACACACACACACACACACACACACACGCACAACACACACATGCACACACAGAGGGTTGGTGCGAGACCACTTTTGTCTGTGAGGGGTATCGGTAACTCTGGGCGATGTGGTGAGTCTTACCCATTAGTCAAATGCATCCTGGGCGGACTGTCGGAGTTCAACCTCCTGATGAGTTGGTGAAAGTCCGACGAAACAGTTTTTTTGAATGTATAGCAAATATGACAACACACACACACACACACACACACACACACACACACACACACACACACACACACACACACACACAACTTACCTCCTGTCCCTTCCCCTCCGCCCTCTCCTTATGTGCAACTAGGAAATACATACGAATGAGCATCAGTAAGAGTACAGACAAAGTATAAGTTGAAGATTTGAAGAGAAATGAACAGGAGTATGAAGACGAACAACAGACACAAAGACTAAGCATATGCTGAAGATCTGAAGTGAAATGAACAGCTGGAGATCTGAAGTGAAATGAACAGCTGGAGATCTGAAGTGAAATGAACAGCTGGAGATCTGAAGTGAAATGAACAGGAGTATGAAGATCTGAACTGAAGTGCACAGGAGCATACCTTCCCCTTTACTCTGCCTCTTATTATAACGTGCAAATAAGGCACACGGGGATGTGGGCAGCTGCCGCTCAACCACCATCAACGTGGGCAGCCTTGTACGTGCGAGGCAAAGTGAAAGAGGAGCTGTTGACCCAAAGAAACCCTAGCTAAACACGGTTCAAAATGGTTCTATTATGATTCGTGCTGCCTGTTAAAGAGAATTTTTTTTTAAGTGTTGGGCGGACTCAGTCCGGTTCTACTCATCTGGTTGGAATAGGGGTTGTTGTGGGGGAAGCTTATAACACACACACACACACACACACACACACACACACACAC